TTCACCGCTGATTAATTGCCTCAGGCTGCCCTCAGGCTCTTTAGAATTTGACTGGGAGCAAAGCATTGTGAGCTTGAGTTGCAAGCCTACTCTGGGCACGATTGGCTCAAATCGTACCGTTGACCCGCTTGTTCAACTTGTGCCGCCCTGAAGGCTTATCACACATTTGGAGAAATAGTTTTGCACTTGTTTCTCAGGCCGCGATCAGGGAAACTGCTGTTCCCCTGCAACGATTTTGCAACTCGGTCAAAGTTGTATTGCTGACTGAAAAAGGTTGGGGTGATTGGGTTGTTTGCAAACACTGGCGAACGCACAAAACATTTGGCTTGTTGGGCAACAAACACAGCTCTGGCTTTGTCCGCAGGCCAACATGCCAGGATGTACTGTATTGAAACAACTCCTGATGCCCTGACCGCAGTTTCGGGAACTCTTGCGCATTTTTGCACATTCTTGCGCGATTTGTTGGCTTTCTTACGCTTTCGTGCGTGTGCTTTCGCGGCCATTTTTTGCCTATGCATGTTCCCACTTTGGGACGCAAAGGCTTCAATCACTTCAGCTTCTGGCAGCTGCTTGGGTCAGAAAGCAACTGGTTCAGGAAAAAGTACGGATTGCAAAGCTGGGTGTGCCAGGCAAACGTGAACGAAAAGAAATGCAGTTCGACATTCCGTTGCAAGAACTTGAGAAAACTGGCACGAGCAACGTGTTACACACGTATTATGATCATGCCAAATGCCAACAGCTACAAGTTGGCGACAGCTGCGAGTGCTCAAAAAGATGGCAGAGCACACGAGCCAAACGCCTGTAAATCCCCTCCACGTTGATGCTGGGTGGGCCAGCTTGATTACGCGAGTAAGTTTTTACCGTAGCCCGCATTTGTTGCCTTCGCTGCTAAAGCCACTGGCAAGCGATGAGCGGCCCTGCACTGCAGAGCCAAACGATACATACGCGCGCGGCTGCGTGCAAGGGTGGACCTCTTTGCCTTTCTTCACTTTTCTTGTTTTGTTTCTGGCAAAGTCAACTTGCTTTGGTCCGGAAACAGGAGATACATTGGGTTCAGGAAAGGAACGCATTCGCTTTGGATAAGGCATCTGCTAATACATGCCCTGGAAAAAAACTGTCCAAATACTATAGAGTCGCATTGAAATCAATTGTGGAAAACACATCCTGAAACGAATGCAATGATGTACTCCCAGACAAACATGAACCGCAAAATTGTGACGTGTGTGGTGAGTAACTTCATGAGGTTGCTTGAGGGATGAGGTTGCATGGTCCCCGGAAACCAAAAAAACTCATTTAAACTAGTACTAACGGTGTCTCCTTTTGGTTTCCATGCGACAAATTTGCGAGAAGGACTTTTGCACAAATAGGAAACCGACCGCATTCAAACAGATCATGCGATTGCATCGTTGGCTCGCTCCAGGTGAGGTCTGTTTCTCAAAACCTAAAGGACTATGTCAAATGCCCATCCAGAGTCTTGGTGCAGCCACCCTGCATTAGGTTTGACTCAGGGTCGAAAAACTCTGAAAGCAGTTCGTCTTTGGAGCGCATTTTTTTGGAGTCGTTCAACGGAGCCAAACGGACACAACCCAAGTTGAGGAAACCCCGCTTCAACACCTGAGGCGCACACCCCAAGCCGTGTACCCGGCGGCGTGCGCATGCCTGGCTGGGTTTGTTGAAAACCCGGAAAGTGGTGTGAGCTTTTGGGTATTCCACGCGACACTGACGCCCCGCCTGCCAAAGCATTGGAGGACAACGTTAGGCCGATCACCAAGTGCTTACTTGTACCGCAGACAAAACTAACTCCTTTCGTACTCCTAATGTAGGTCAAGGTCATGGTTCCCCTTAGCCAGTCAAGACCTTTACATTGAAAGGCTCAGACCCCTGAACAATCCCTACCCGCCGTTTCTTAGCTCGGGATCCGGCCTTTGGCTGATTGCTGGCCTCAGCGAGGAAAAGGAACGAGAAGCCATCGACATGGCGTGTCTTATTTGAATGGTAACCCCGTCGATAAGGGTTCCAACTCATGTTGAAACATGTTGATAACATAGGCCCTGCGCTATCTCTAGCTCTCTCCCTCTCTCTCTCTCTCTCTCTCTCTCTGTATATGCATACATCTGATGATTATTTCAACAAAAAACATGTTTGCTTCTTGTTGTTTCCAAAAGGCACCATCCGGTCTCCTGCGCGGATCGAGTTGACGAAAACGGGCTTCTTTCTTGGTTTCCCTGTGCGCGTTGCCTGGCCACAATTGTGCTTCTGCGAGAGTAGGTAGGTCATCACCATGTGTGAACTAACTCTCGAGGTAACCCACTTCCCTACATAGCTTGGCATCCTGTTGAAAGGTCAGAACTACCTAACATACAGCAAGAGTGAAGCGCACCTTTTTACTTGAGCCATATGTGCATGATGGTACCATGCAACACTATGGTACATCTCTCATGGAGACTACTCAACAACACCCCCCGCTTTGCGGAGGAATGGTGAGAATCCATCCCACCATCCCCTGGGCCTGGCGCAAAGTATTCTGAGGCGATGGCAATGCAGGCCTCGGGCGGGTGTCAAATTATGAATGATGTGCAGGGAAATGTCGCCCTACGTTCAATGAGCAATCAATGGCTTGAGCACAAAGCTGCAACTGCCGCGCACGCGGGCGACGTGCCAGATTTGTGATGGCCAGCCACGGCTTCTGCCAGCCATCCCAATGGCTTGTAGTATCGACATGAGTTCATGACTTGAAGATGGAGGCAGTGCTTCCGCCGGGCCGGCAACAGTCCAACACTATGCTGATGCCATATGATGTTATTGAATGAGATTGAATCGAACTCACCCACAAGGTTACGGCAGCAACATGTCGCGCAAGGAAGATGCGATTATTCTACAACCATGCGCGCCTCACCCAATCACCTCAGCGCCATCCCCAACGGTCTTGGCCGCGACGGTTCCGGTCCCATCCTCGATTCCCCTTGGCTTTGCGGCTGAGGGCACGCTGTCCTGGTTGTGGCCCGCCACTCGGTACTGGGCCTCCACGAGGTAGCTCTTCCCGAAGTGAAGGGCGCAAGTGCGTCCGGAAAGCTGCTCTTGGATCTTCGGGATGGATTCGTAGGTCCTCTGCCTTACGGTCTATCACCCCTCACTAGCTCGTCAGCTACTGCTTCGTTCATCTTTGCGATTGCGGGGTGACAGCCGTCGGCACCTGACGCCATGGCGTCGCGGGCTGAGAGCGGGTGCTGTGCACGTTCCCAGCGGCTGAAAACCTATTGGAAGGTCAGAACTACTTAACATATAGCAAGAGTAAAGTGCACCTTTTACTTTAGCCATATGCATGATGCTATAATGCAACACTATGGTACATCACTAATGAAGACTACTCAAGAACACCTTTTGGGCTTTCCAAACTCCTGCCCAGTGCCCCTAGAAAGATATGCGCAAATTATTGGGGAGGCGCTTCTTTTTTTGGCGGGGTGGGGCCACATTTTTTGTAATGTCCA